CCCCTCCCTTCACTTCGTGCTTGGTGATGTGGTAGCGTGGGCCGGTGGAAATCCCGGCACGTCGCTCCGTCCCGGCATTGTCGGGATGCGAAGTCAAAGGTCTACCTAGGGACTACACCACGTGTCTGCATGACTTCACCCCTGTCCCCCGTTCTTCCTTCCTCCTGCACATATATATGACCCATGGTGTGTCTGGGCGTGATGATTTTCTGTACCTTCGCGTACAGCGGACCCCAAGCAACCATAACGATAATAGCGTGCAGGTGACTTCAGCCAACCATGTCTTGTTCGTGGTGGTTATCCGTCTTGGCGTACACGTGACCCCGAGCATGGCATGATGGCTGTCTGTCCTAGCATCATGCACATGGCCCCGAGCAACCATGACAGTGATCATTCCTAAGCGTGGGAAGGTAGGACCCCAACCTACCACCTTGGTTACCCGTCTGAGCGCAACCGACCCCAAGCGAACCATGTTGATTGGTCTCTTAGCTCACAACCCCATCCCCGAGGAATCAACGGCAGTTTTCTGTCTATGGTGCACGGTGGTCCCAAGCAACCCCTACGGTTTGTCGTCTTTGCGTACCGGTGAACCCACACGCGACTCACCCGGACACCTACGAACGCTTTTGGAGCGCGCAGCACGTGTGGTGTCGTCGTTCCTTGGTTTGCTTCTGTTCATTGGTCGGCGGACCCAGCGGAACAAACAACACGAAAGAAACCGCAATCTTTGAGAAGATAATTTTTAGTTTCTCTCTTTCTCACACCACCGCCTCCCAGCTTTCGAAAATCCGTTGTTGTTGGCTAAATATTTTGTTCGATAGCAGACAAAGCCTGGCGTAAGCGTAAGGCCGACAGAGACTGGAATTTGCAGGGGAACTGAAAACTGACAACATGCCCGCCATTGTCTGTTTCAACCGGACACATGTTCGTGGGGGCTGGGGTGGACTGCCAGAGAGGGAAGCTGGCGGAGGCGATGGAGGTCTTGGCCATGATGGAGGGGAGGGAGTACCAGCAGAAGTTCTGTCGCCCCCGCTTCCGTTCGTACCAGCCGGTCATCTGCGAGCTTTTGCGGAGGGGGGAGATGGACGGGGTGATGCAGCTGTGGCAGCACATGAAGTGGCACAGTATCCGCCCCAAGGTGACACAAAAGGAATGATCCAGCATGGTGCAGCCCACCATTAGGATCATACCACCTACCACGCATGTTGTGTGTATTAGTCATTCGTCCCATTTTTGTTATCAATTGAAGCACGTGTTCATTTGTTCGTGTTTGGTGACGGAAGTCGTTCTTCGAAGCATGCTGTATTTTTCTATTTCCGTTTTGTGCGTTGTTTTTTTTTTTGTTTCTTGGCGCACAGGACGTTCTGATCTTACTTCGAATTACATTGCCTTAACCAGTTTTTGGTACATGAGCCGTTCTGGTCGTACTTGAGTACATTCCCTTCACCAGTTTCCACGTTTTTGCTCGTTATCATTTGTTTGTTGATGTTCCAGGAGGCGTGTTCTTGCCCCGTACTTGATTGCGTTGACCTTTTCCCCCTCGTCCATGCTTTATTCTTTGTTTTTCGGCGGCAGGAGTCTTTCTTGCTGGACCTCATCGAGGGGATCGCGAACAACCACCACGCCTCGTCCAGAAACTCCCTCACGCAGCTCGCGGACCACCTTCTGGACGGAATGTCAAAGACCCTCATCTACCCCTCCGCACCCACAGTCAAGGCTCTCGTTGAGGTATGCACGATAACCGCGCTCCGTACAGGCCGCTGCTCTGGGTGTGATAGTGCCCCCCCCCCGTCTTAGCTACCTCCTGAACCGTTTTCCCTGGTGCTTGTGACAGGGTTGGGAGGCGGGGAGGGTGGGCCGCCGTGCCCCAGTCTGGTGCATGTTTTCCGTTGCCGTCCTCTTTTGGCTCCTGTAGTGATCTTGCAAGCCCCGCATTTCCAAGTGTTTCTCTTGACGTGATGATGGCGTAGGGGTGGAGCGCGAAGTGCACGAACGTGTCGCAGCAGGGTACAATGCACCACATGCGGCGAGATGCTCCAGTGCACGAGGCTGAACCCCCCCCCCATCCCCCCTCATTTCTGCCAGTTGTACTTGACGTGATTATGGCGTAGGGGTGGAACGCGAAGTGGACGGACGTGTCGGAGCAGGACACATGCACCACGTGCGGCGAGATGCTCCACTACATGAGGCTGACCCCGCCCCCCTTTTTTCTACCTATTATGCTTAACGTGATGATGGCTTAGGGGTGGAACGCGAAGTGGACGGACGTGTCGGAGCAGGGAACATGCACCACATGCGGCGAGATGCTCCAGGGCACGAGGCTCACCCCGGAAGACCGAGCGAGGATGAGGAGCTCGATCGTGCACATCGCCGCGCAGAACGGGGCTAGAGCGGTGCGTGCGCCTGCGCTCCGGGGCTGTTCGGCACACCTGGGATACACGTGCTGTTTCGTCGTCTGTTTCGTGTTTTTTTTTGTTTTTTATGATATGCATACAATCACAAAACGACTTACCCATTCGATATGATAGCACGGCAGTGGAAGGGGGTGTTTAGAAGTCTTTGCGGTGAACCTTACTGATTTGTTTCTTTTGTTCGCGGTGTGGATGTGGATTCCAGTGCGCATACGGTTTTCCGTACTGAGGTATCATACATAGCTCACCGTGGAAAGACGGCTTTTATTTTTTTCGGAGTGGCTTGGTTGTACAAGGTTCCGGCAGTTGAGTTTTTTTGCGACGTATGTGCCTCGCTCCTTCCTCCATCCTTTCCTTTCTTTTTTCTTAACACAACAAACTTATCTGTATTGATTAGAGTCATTTGTGTTTCTTGGCCTTCAGGTCCAGCGGCTAAGCTGGTTCGCCAATTGGTTCTGTTCTCTGGAAGACCCTCCGACGGCCATCATCGACGGCCCCAACGTCGGCTTCATGAACCAGAACTTCAAGGGAGGCGGGTTATCGTTCACCCAGGCAAGATCCTCTCAGTCTCGGGCAGCTTGTTATTTAATTAGTCGGGTTGTGTGGTTGGTTGTTGATGGACCTGTTCACTACAACAGGTCCTTTCGAGGTGGAGAGCTCGGATACGCTATATAAGCTGGGCCAGCCACGACGCTCAATTTCGTTCTTTCGCGTCCCATGCTAATACGTAGCTTGCAACATCTCTCGCACACGGTGACCAAACAGAAGCGGTTCCGTATGTACATGCGTGCAATCCTGAACGATCGCATGTGTGGTTTGCGGCGTGTACTGAGCGACCAGTACGTTTTTCCTTGGTGCGGGATGTGTTAACCGGGCCGTGTGTGTGCATTGATGGCCTAAACACTGATTTGTTTTATCTAGCTGCATGCCAGAGGTCCCTCCGGAGTGGGCTCTTGAGAGCACTGTGTCGGACCAGCCAGCCACTCACAGCTGGCTGGCAGCTTCCAATTGCGACGATTTTTTCCCAAGCTCACACAGCTGGCTGACGTGTTTCGAATCGAAGGGCCTAGCGAACCTCGACAAGCCCAAAAGAAGAAGACATCGCGAATCAGTGTTACCTCCCCCCATTGAACGCCGATCGGTCTTGGGCGCCTCACCCGCTACAGGTCGACTGGCTAGCAGAACACCTGAACTCCAAGGGAGAGCGTGTCCTCATCACGATGCCATGGTACTATTGTAAGGCCGACAATATCCCGATGAGGGCGGGCCGGAGAGAATCGTAAGTATGTTTTTTATTGTCCCTGGTGTTGTGTGCTTTTTTCGAGAACCCACCCGACACTCCATGCGGTTGAGTGGTTGTTTTTGGAGTGAACTGAGTTTGTTTGAAAATCACCTGTGATATCCATTTTTCCGCACGTTTTTTTTTTTTTTTATGTGGACCCGTAAGCATGGAGTCGCATGGATCCGCAACAGGAGATGAGATGCCCGTTCCATGCCGCCTGTCGAACCAAGAGTTGTGTTGGGTTATACTCGCAGAGCAGAAGAGAACACGGCCCCAAGATGAATCAATTTCGATGCTTTGGGTTGGATTGAACCTCATTGTCATCACGATGCACGGTTTTTAGCCCATTCCATTCCTTGCGAACGGACGGGACATAAACAATGGATGGGAGAGGTGTCTGATTGTCGTGGGATCGGAGTTGGTCCCCGGGGTTGTGCCTTTGCTCCGTTTCGCGACACTACCGTTGTCGTGCAGAAGAAAGTAAGCGATCGCTTGCAGCCTTCGAGAGCTCCGGGTGACACGAGAGGTACGGATGGTTGGTTTCTCTGTTGTTGTCTTCACATTAAACTCGTGTCAGTTGCTAATCCCAAATTCTAGCGAAAGCTCCAGTCCGTGGTCACAATAATGCTAGAGCCATCAGGAGATCTAAAAACACTCCCACTTGCAAGGAAATACGGATGGTATGGTCCGTGCACAACAATTTGTCCAATCACGTTTTGTGCGATAACTTTTTTTTGAAAAAAAATTGGAACGTGAAACAACGATGGTCGTGACCGCCTCGTCGAGATACGTCGATAGCCGCAGA